TAGACAATTTTTCTGACTATAGAAATGTCTCTCTCTCTCTTTCTCTCTCTCTCTCTACATTCATCTAACGAACAATTTTGGGCATGGCTATTTAATACTCATCCCGTTAAGTGTAATATGCATTCTAATGTTACCAATGTTGTTGGCAATAAGATTTTCCGTTATCCAGTCCCTCAGTCAAATAGGGGATTTCCCTACTCGTGTCCCTAATAAATCTGATCAACATTCTTCTTTTCTGGATTTATTCCTTACCCCCTTTCTCAGTTCTTGTCGAGTATCACAACTCTGTCCTATTGGCAATTCGGATCACGCTGTAGTATAGGTTGATATTTCTTTTGAGTCCTCTATTAGAAAGGAACCTCATATTCACAAGATTTCTTCCTGTTAACAGTATGCGGATTGTGATTCATTTCGTGGCTTTATTTGAGACGATCCTTGGATTGTTATTCGTAACCTTCCTATTGAGTTTTCTGCGTGGCATTGATGCTTTTGTATCAGGTGAAAACACAATCTCCGTTTTGGTTTATACTTGCCTGTTCAGTCGCTATAGCCCACAGGAATCACTCTTGCCGGGTGTACCAGCGGGATAGTTCAGATCACAAAAGATACCTCTTTGTATCTGCTCACAATAACTGTAAATGTGTCCTAAAGAGGATAAGTCTTTGCTGATAGAATAAGACCCTGTAGAGCCTCTAATAAGTTTGGTTCTCGTGAGTACTAACAGCTCTATAAGAGCGTGTTAAATAAGGGTAAGTCTTCTATTCTTCCCTCTTCACACAGTTATCATATACTGATAAAGCAGAATGTCTGGCTCATAAATTATCTACTAATTTATATGTTACTCTTGACTCATTTAGGATATCTTTGACACTCCCTTAGAACTGAGTTTCTATTGAATGAAATATATATATTACTCCGGCCATGGTTTCTGCTATCACCTCTAAACTGAATCCTCACAAAGCATTTGGACTTGATGGTATCCCTGCAATAGTGCTTAAGTAATGTGCTCCTGAACTGGTTCCTTTACTCTCAAAACTCTACAGTAAATACCTTGCTACTTCTTGCATTTTGCTTGTTGGAAATCCACTTGTGTAGTTCCAGTCTTTAAGAACTGAGGTGAACCGCCTGATCCTTTTAGCGGCTTAATAGCCTGTTATCTCTTTTTGGCAACGTCCTAGAGGCTCTAAATAACTCTGAATTAGATAAGCATCTAACCTCGCAGTTTTCTTTCAGATAAGATCTATGGCTTTCGCTTCACTAGATCAACTGTTGATGTATTAAGGATTATTGCTGAAAGAGTCCATTAAGCCTTAGATAAGAATAGTGAAGGTCGGGCTTTTGCTTTGGAGATTCCGAAGGCATTTGGCAAGGTTTGGCATACTGGGATTCTTCCCAATTTGAAATGTTATTTATGGTATTTCTGGACTAATTTTTAACCGATTCACTCTTTATTATTAAATCATTAATGAAAGTTGTCTTGAACGTCCACTCTTCTCGATCTTTTCGCGTTAATGCAAGTTTTCTACAGAGGGATATCCTTGAACCTACGTTGTTAGTAATTTTCATAAATGACTTTCCTGATGACATCAGTTCTCTATGCTGATGACACAACTATTTACTCCTGTCTTGATGGATTCGAAAAGGTCAAATTAGCAATTGATTTAAAAAATGACATACAATCTTGTTAACTGGGGCAATGAATAGCTTGCTAATTTCAACGCCTCCTAAACGAAACTGTTATCTTTATTTGTCTGAGAGAACCGTTTTTAGCTTCCATCAGCATGGTTGATGCTAATCCTCAGGAGAGTGACTCATGCGTATTCTCGAATTTAAGTTTTCCGCTGATATATATATATATATATATATATATATATATATATATATATATATATATATATATATATATGTGTGTGTGTGTGTGTGTGATCATCTATAAACAGCCTGCTTCACTGTATCACAGCTCATCACTGTGGCTAGACATCTGATTAATCGAAACCGGGATCGAAACTCGACCGATTTGACATCAGAGATCCTTATCCTTAGACTATCGGTGCACGGCAGAAAAAGGAAATTTTTAACGCATTATATACGTGTTATAAAGGAAAGATGATTCTCTACGATGTTGTAGACAATTGTTCTCGACAGAACCTATCTTTCATATTTCTAAGTCTACTCTTCGTCCTTGCTTTGAATATTGCTGCCACATCTGTCCTGATCCTCCTGCTATATATTAGAGATTCTTGATAACATCTAAAGAAGATATCTGCAATTTTATTGGTCCTAAATTGGCATCTCGGCTTCATTCACTTTTCCACCACCGTAACGTAGCTTCTGTGTGACTTTTCTATAAATACTTTCATGGTAATTGTTCTGATGAACTTTCTGCTATGGTATCTAGACTTTATGAATTTAAGTAAAGTACTAGATTGGTGGCAAGTTTTCATCATTTTACAGTTGAAATGTCTGTAACCGTATGTTCTATGCTAGCAGTTTGTTCTATTGCACTTCTCGCATGTGGAAATCTCTTCCGGCTTCTTGCTTCCCAGTCAACTTTGATCTTCAAAAATTTAAATGTAATGTCAATCGTTATCTTATGTCTTCTTAGTTCATGTTCTTTTATTGTTCTCCCTCCTTAATAGTGTTTTTTCTCATATTCTCTCACACTCAGTAACCGTCTTGCGTCTTAGTGGCTTTATTGCTTTGCTTGGAGGGGGATAATTAAAACAAAATATTTGAATTACTATTCTGATTATAACCTGTGTTTGGGCACTAAGCTTAGCTACAAAATAGGCAACCGACTTAAAAACACATAATCAAGGAAAACTCTGAAATTTATCTTTCAATAAATAAAACGTTCCTAAATGCAAACTTTACATTTAAACCATGTTTAATATATACCTGCATCTCCTAACTTCAGCAAATATATATATAGAACAGGTAAAAAATCCGTGTGTAAGTAATCCAAGTAGATCCTATTAATATAAAATATTAAAACTGATCCACAAAAGAGAACTCAATATAAGTTTTATTATAGAGCATATAAGTGAATTATAATTGATGAGATCCAAACGATTTATCTCATACAGATGATCATTTCGTCCATGGGAAAGTAATTTTTCTCTGGACTTACCAATGCAAATACATTTACTAAAATGAATAAAACGTTTCTTCACAAGAAATTTAAAAGGAAAAGAAAGAAAAGGGAACAATTAAAAAAGAAAGAATAAAAGGAGAGGGAGTAAGAATTGGTCTATAATAGAGGAGGGAGTTAAGGAGATAAAGAGGGTTAAGGGACCTAAGGTGGTTGTGGTTGAGTCATATATAGAGAAACGCGACGGTTGAAAATGAACACTGACATAAATGTAACCTATCAACACCTGTACAAGGAAGAAGAATGAACAAAAAAGGCTATGAAACATTTTAGAGAGAAGCTTAAAATTATTATAGAATGGGAATAAGAATTTAAATTTAATACTTTTATAAAAAGATGTTAATATTAATCCATTCAATACTAAATCTTCAACTATATAGTAAAAGTTACAGTAAAAAAATTTAAGTAAATTCTTAATATATTAATTTCATTGAAATATAACTAATCTCATTATATCAATATAATATATAACTTTTCAAATACTAAGTTTATAATTTAAATTAAAGGAATTTTTTCTTATGGCGACACTTGGATACAGATTCACCCATTTTGTTTAGTAGAATATATGAAAAAATTCCAACTGACATAATTTCAACCCCACACTCCAAGTGTCGCCACAGAAACAAATTTCAACTAACATAGTATTAGCTGAACCTCGCACTCCTCTTTCATTTATATTTTTACATGTGATTTTTTCCTATTGTGACATCTTTCCGATATGTAAAATTTTTCTATATGTGAAATTGTTTCCAAGATGTAGAATTTCCTTCTATATCTAAATATTTCTCTCCTTGTTACATGTTTTGTATGTGTAATTTTCTTCTATATTTAATTGTTTTTATAATATTGAATATTTTATATATTGAATTTAAATTTAATCCTTTACAGAATTTCAACTAGTTAGTATAAGTATGACATAATTTAAATTATAAACTTAGTATTTGAAAAATTATTAATATTATATTTATCTGTACCAGACACCACCACAACCACATTAGGTACCTTAACCATCTTTATATAACTCCCCCCCCACATCTATTATAGGTCAATTCTTACTCTCTCTCTTTTTATTCTTTCCTTTCTCTTTTTTTCTTTCTCTACATTTCAAATTTCCCGTGAAGAAACGTTTTATTCATTTTAGCAAATGGATTTAATAATATTAAATATTTTCCCATGGACGAAATGATCATGTGTATTAGGTAAATTCCTTTGGATCACATTAATTATATACATACATACATACATATATGTATATATATGTGTGTATATATATGTATATATATATGTATATATATATATATATGTATGTGAAAAGTGTGTATATAAATATATATATATATATATATATATATATATATATATATATATGTGTGTGTGTGTGTGTGTGTGTGTGTGTGTGTGTAAATATATTTTATATATTATTATTTATATATTATATGCGCGGTACTTATTAGAAAGCGCTCAATATCAGAGATAAAGCTAACATATTTAGTTGGATTGATGTGAGTTTGTGACCCTGGGTTTCACGCTTTTGCGATCGACAGACAAACAGATTAATTTTTTTTTAATTTTGGATTTATGTAGATTGCGTGTATTGGTGTTATTATGGGAGTGGGTCGGGGGAAATCGTCGTCGTGATGTCACTCATGTTAACGCAAACATAGATGCATGTTCGTACACCCGTTGAGGTACGCAGACACACATACACACTCGCTCGTCCGCCGGGGCTCATACAGACATAAACATATGTGGGCAGTATGGGATTGACATATGTATGCATATGTGTGCTGTTGTCTATATACATACGCATTTGTATGTTGAAATTCAAAGATCGGAAGTGTAGCGAAAATTTCTCGTGAATGTATACATGTCAGCAATCAGAGGATTTTTCTATTCTTTCACTGAATAATATTTCCTCGCATGCACGTATATACGTGTGGTGGGGTCTGTGTAAAATTATGATAGGTAAAAATTGCTATTATTTTTAATTTTTTAAGGTTGATTTGTTATTATTTTAAAGCTGGTTATTTGCTTGTTTTTGATGGCTGCGTATATGTAACTAGTAGAAATTGTGGTTTGTAATCCTTATTGGTTTTTTATGGTGGTATTAAATATGCTGGGGGAGGTGGAGTAGTTTACGTTAATAATTATAGCAGGTTTATATGACAATAGTAGATGTGATGTGATAGTAATGGTGTAGGGGGATTGGTGGCAATGATAATATAAGTAGCTAATAGTTATTGTAAATTGGTAGAAGTGATTAGTAATGGTGGTGGGAGAATGATAAAAACAATAAATGTAATTATTGTGGTGGTAGCTTGAACTAAAAAGTGATTGTTGGTGTTGTATTTCCCCCCAAGCATCGTATTTGATAGGATATATAAAGTATTTGATAGGATATATAAAGTTCTCCCAGCTGCCTCTTATTTTCATTTAATATTTCTGTATTATGAAATTAGATTAGGTAGACTACGGCGTGTGGGTAAAGATTAACATACCTTAGGCCTTAACATTGTATATAAGAGTCATACTAGAATTCATTATCGGCGGTCATAGTCTTAGTAACATAAGATATGCCGATTACAGTGTTGAAAGCAGACACGGAAAGGAAAACACAAGAACTCCTACAAAAGATAGTAAGGGAAAGCGAGAATAATGAACTGAAGATCAATAGCTAAAAAGGTAGAATGCATGGTTGTCTACAAAAGGAACAAAATTGCATATATCGTGTGTTATTGTAGAGAAAATACTGCTGAGATTCGAAAGATTAAATTGGTTTTATTTTCTTTGGTCCTAAAACCTAAGTGAAATTACCTTAAGTTTTGCTGATACCTAATGACAAACAAGAATATGGAGGGAGGAATAATTCAAGAGCGCTTAAGTTTTTATCGAATTACCAACACGTGAAAGAAATGGGAAATAAACAGGGAGCGACCACATAAATTAAATGTGCGCACCTCATGTCATTAACATCATAAAATTATTTACATAAGTCAATGAGAAACGTCTTTAAATCTTTTGAATATAATGACATCAGGTAAAATTAAACAAAATTACGTTCATTTTAAATATAAGCAACCTGAAAAGAAAGTAAATTAGAAACGAAAACAATTCATATCATAATATGAACTATTAAAGTACCTCGTTGATGGCTCACTACTGTGGTTTGGTAATATTTTTTTTTAATTATACGTACCAACATCATAACGTAAGGAGCTATGACACCACCCACTCTAGCAAAGGTAGACATAGCTCCGAGCGCCCCATTTCTCACACAGGTTGGATACAATTCACAGGTGTGTAGGTAGACGATCCCAAATGTACCAGTAACACAAAGTTTGCTTAAAGTGGCCAATGTTGTTGTAATCCATTGTGAATCTGAATTAGAAAATCATATTTAGAAATTTGAAAATATCTAGCTAACTTTCTTAAAAATAAATTTTTCATTCTTTTTCTAACTTTCTTAAATGTAATTTTTTCATTTTTCATTGAAAGGTGGCGCTAGAATTGTAGAAAAGAGATACTTGAAAATTACAGCGAAGAAAAGATGCTTCATGAAAAAAAAAACTCATTTATACACTAGTTTTATGGAACTGCTACTTAAAATAAAAAAAATAACACACCCAGAAACTATAACTAAGGTCTGATCAACTGATTTTGAATTATAAACCATATATTGAGTGTAAATGATGAAAACAAAAATACAAATATGCCTGAGCAGGTGTCTGCAGCATGGATTAGCTGATCACCCTAGCAGAAGAGCATAGGTGGAAACTAGCAACCGGCCTATATATTAGAATATGACCCATTTATCATTAATCTTCAACATTTTGCCAGCATATTTTCCTGACAAATAAGAAAAAGAGGCTCTCGATACAGGGTTCTCAGCCCAAGTGATCGAGATCTCAAAGCTATCTGTCTGCTTATATAATCACTTCGGCCCAAAACTGGAGCGGAGCCGAAGAATTCTTGGGATTTGTTGATTATTCAATTTCCACATTAATCTCAATAATAGTTCTTTGTTCTCTATTTTAGATTTCTTAATCAACTTTGGAGAATTATCCACTTTCTCAGGAGTAGTTACAGAGATTGCTCCTGCCCTAAACTTCACCAGTTTCATCTAACATCTCACACCACCGTTGCACAAAGGCGGGGCAAAAATTCCTCCTCCTTTCTCAGCGTTCCACATCAGCCTACCACTCAGGGCAGGCATAACTGTCTTTTTGACAAATCTAATTTTTAAATCGTATGGGCGAAAGGCCGTAGTTTATTCTAGTCATTAATTTTAATTCTCTTGTTTTCTCGAGGAAGAGATAAAATTATTTTACCATTCTTAGATTTATTTTGTCTAAGGTTGTGCCCCTTAGACTGATTCGAACGTAACTGATGGCAGACTTTAACAAGAAAATTTTATCAACGCCATTTCGATGTAAGCAGATGAAATTCAACCAGAGAATTAATCTATATATAAAATTCTTTGAGTTCCGTTAGTCCGTCCGTCAGTCACACCCTCTAAAATAGCCATACACTGACCAATCGAAACCAAACTTTTGGGAGAAGAGCAAACAGATAAGGCGGTACAAAGTACAATATGTTTTCTTAGGGTGTAGAGATTAGTACAATAAATTTTTTATTAAATATTTTGGAAAAATTAAAAGTTTTATAATTTAAGATACAAAATAATCCCACTATTTTAAAAACAATTTAATTATTAAAATACAAAATACTTATTTAATAAAAATGCAATATAGTTTTTGCAGATCTTTTAAGTTTTATAAACAAGAATCCAGTTTCCAGTTCGCTCTGCGTTTACGAGAACTATAAACAAATCACAAGGCCAAACGCTTCAAAAAGTTGAAATTTGTTTCCAGAAATAAATATTTACGCATGGCTAGTTGAATGCTCAAGTGTAAGAAATCCTGAGAATTTATTCTTCGCTCTTAAAAAGAATAAAAAAAAAAGAAATTTTCTTAATATTGTTTACCATGGATCCTTATAAAATTAAATTAAAATTAAAGAAATTATTAAACCGTGAAAGAGGGTTTAAAGTATTTTAAAGGGCTAAAGTATATTTCCAAACAAATCGGTTTATTCAAATTTCATCGTTTGGTTTGCGAAATTGAACGAAACGTAGAGTAAACTTCTATAAGAATGTTAGCGATAACTTCAACAATATTAAATACTGTAAGGATTTCAACACGCGTTAGTGTATTGTAAAAAAAAAAAAAAAAAAATTGCAATATTTTAAGTATCCCGAAGCAGAATATAATTCCTCAAGAAACGACACTTTCATTTTGAAGAAAAGAGTTACTTACCGCCATGGACTTCCTAAAAAAAGCTAAAAAAAAAAAACCCATTTTAAATAATTTAAGTATTTTTTAAAGTTAAATTTTGTTTTGTTCGGAAGATAATAATCTATTTAAAGAAGTTATTTATTTTTTCCTATTTGCGGATAATTTCCAAGATTTTAGAAATTTTTAAACCAAAAAAGTAAAAATAAATAAAAACTCACATCTGCCCAATTCGATGAGCGAAGTTGATGGACGTCGACAAAAGATAAATTAAAACACTTTAAAAATATCTCCAAAATCCGCTATATATCTTAGATATTTGTTTCATTGAAAAAATAGTAAATTTAAGTATTATTTAATTAGATTTTGTAAAAATATTACTTACTTTTTGCATCCGACAAAATTCCAGTAAAAATGCACTCAAATATGGGAGACCATAATTAGCACAATCAGGAAACTAACGCCTGGAGCGGAAGTTGGTTAGTCATAAGTGGATCAGACATAACTCAGTATTATTTTAGATTTTCATTTTGATCTTCCATAGAATAAAATGAGAAATAAAATTATTAAAAAATTGTTAAACCTAAAGACGGCATTAAACATCTTCAAACATCTTTATATCAATTTCATCAGCAACAGCCAAGGCCTCAAAGTGTTTTGAAATCTTATTCTCAAAAACAAGTTAATGTTTGCCAAAGAAATATACACAAGAGAATTTTTTCATGTGAAAACAAAAAAAATATACAGTGTGTTTTATTAAACCTGAGTACCACTAACACCCAACAAAAAATAATTTTCGAGTTTTTCTTCAATTTTCTTAAGATTTTATACTCACTATTAATATTTCTTCTTCTGATGCTATCACACCTTCAGGGATTTAACTTGATAGAAATATAAAACTTAGGAAAGTCCAAATTCGTTAGTACGAATTGGTGAGGAGTTAAAGTGGCGTATAACTTGTCTAAAAATATTTCAACAAAACTTTAAAAACAATACAATATAAAAGTCATTCATTAATGAAGAAATGCTGAAAATCCCATTGAAATTCGATAATTACCCAATTTTTGGCAATTTTTTCAAAATGGAGTATCGTTTTTTTTTTTTTTTTTACGTGTCGAAAAGATGCATGGATTTCGAGGTACCAAAAAGGATCCCGAAAAGATGCGGTTATTCTGTAAGAATATATGATATATTTCTCAAGAAGTGATGAATTTTTATTTATTAATCCGACAGATTTTATTAATTAAGCTTTGTTTTTAGTGGATTCCCATATTTGAGTAGACGCCAAGTTTATTCAGTAAGCAGTAAATTTTTTTTTCGTCTACCGGCCGGAGAGCTCATATTTTTCTTTAATAAGATTTCTTGAATATTCAGGTCGGTAGACGAAAAGAAATATACTGTTTAATGAATGAGTACGGGTATCCACTAAACTAAGTTTTAAGTAATAAAATATATATGTAAAATATATTGTACAAGTACATCCAAAGTTTGCCTACAAAAAATGGTCATGCATGATGAAATTATAAAACAGTTTTTATCAGCTAATATTTCTCAAATAAAGTTTCAGGGAAGTATATTTTATTTTTGAAAGACTAATAAAAAGAATTATGTTGTGTTTAGCGACTTTAAAAAAACAAACATAAAGACTAATTGTTTTGAAATACAACAGAGTATTTTAATTATTGGAAATATTAAATTTAATTTATTTGCTTGAGATTAAAACTAAAACAAAAACTTCAAGAGTGGTTTTTCATTTTTAAATGTTGTAGAGGCAAAGATGACCAACCTATACAAAATATACAGTTTAACGAAAACAGTTTTTCCGTTCAAACAAGTCACAGAGAAATTCTGGAATGCGCAGCCTTAATGTAGAGCTGTTGAAAATCTTTTATGCTTTGTGAGTACTTTGAAGCCTCATAACACTTTATAAGAGGAGTAATTTCCAAAGGCTAAAAGGCTACGGAGGGCCGGCCTGGATAGCAAACATATCCCGAAGTCCGCTGATACCTTGGAGACCTTCAAAGAGACAGCTGCTCATCACAGTGCCCAGGTTGCAAGCGGAAGCAGCAATATTGCAGAGGAGAAACGAACTCGATTGTGGATGAATAGAAGGTTGAGAATAAAAACTGGCTCATCATCTACACAACCGCATGTACGCATGTGTAGAAGCTGGCAGCTCATCTCTCCTCTGATCTACCCCAGGTGGCTCAATGGGTAAAGGATTGCCTTGTAAAATTCTATATGGCCCAAACCAAACTAGTAACGTTCAACCACCACCAAGCAGACTCAAACATGGATGGGTCTTCTCTCAAAGAGGCTCGTTGCCTTGAACAACTGTTGAGACTCAAGCTTAATCAGATCTCATATGATTGAACTTATCTGTCCAATCTATTGGTAGAGATCCTGGGAAAATGATTGGTTCACTGTACCACTCCTCCTAACTATACCCTATCTTTACAATAGACAGATCAGACCAAAAATGGAATATTGCTGCCATATTTAGGTTGAAGCTACACGGTAGTTCTTACTCGCCTGTCTTGATAGAGTTCAGAAGCATCTACACACCTTTGACTTATTTTCCACCCTACAACGCCTTTCCCACAGACAAAACGTTGCGAGTCTATCGATACTCTATCGCTATTTCCATGGCCGTGCTCTGACGAGCTATATTCCTTAGTCCCATCAGCCTTGACCTTTACAAATGGGGCTCGCACATACACGTACAATATTGTGAATAAGCCCAACTCCCATCGTATTCCAAACTTCTTCCCAAGAACCGATGCTTTGTGGCAGGATGATTTCCCAATTACTACAATCTTCAAGTCGAGGGTTAATCGTTATATTTCCTGCATAACCACATGAACTTCATTTCTTACGTTTACAGTAAACACTCTACCTAGAGTGGTTCTTGTGTTGATGATTTTCTAAGCGTAGAAAGGCCGGATGTATGGGCTGCCCAGTGAGGATCGAACAAGGCCGAAAGTATGGCCCACCCAGTGAGGATGGAACAAGGCCGGAAGTATGGCTCACCCAATGAGGATCGAACAAGGCCGGAAGTATGGCCCATCCAATGAGGATCGAACAAGGCCGGAAGTATGGCCCACCCAATGAGGATCGAACTCACCACTCAGTCGCAATTGTTTTAGCGAAACAAGCTTGCTAAACATTACGATCATATGTCAAGCATTAGTATAAAAAAAAGTAAAAAAAAAAGCTGATATGCCACGAACTGTCTCTCAAAAATCGCGTGTATTTATGTGTGCACATATTTCAAGTGTAAATATACATGCATGTGTTTTTTTTCTGTACCCCACTCTATTTAACAAATTTCAATTTTGTATGCGGATACATCTTTCCAATATATAACCCAAACCTCACATACCATACATACTCGGGTATGACGACTAAATGCATAGGGAGACCCCCCCTGAACTATTTTAACCCGTTCAAGAAAAAATTCTCCTGTGTATAGTGCAACCTGTCACCGAAAATGCATGTTTTTTTAACCTCTTCAAAAATTACGATCTCCTACTTTTTGCGTGAAAAACTCGCACTGTACTCGAGTATATACGGTAAGTCCGAGATTACTTCAAGAAGTGGTTAATTAAATCTTAAAAGGAAAAAAAGTACTTTTCTTACCATCTGAAGCGTACATAAATGGAAAAATAGTACAGATTCCACAAATTCCTCCAAAAACCATGAAGGCAATGTACAATTTCTTTCTGCCGATGCGATCCAATAGAAATATACACGTGAGATATGCAGGGATTTCCACTAAAGCCCCAAAGAAGAAATTCAGGAACATGTTTCCACTCAAATTTTCTGTGTTTATCACCAATCCATAATACACAAAACTTACCACACACCTGGGGAATATATTTAATAGAAAGATAAGCAAAAATATAACTGTAAATTTTGAATGTGTTGCATTGTTTTCATGAACTATTGGCCCATTTCATTTTGCATGTTTTGAATTGTTGGAAAACCTAGCAGCGAATGATCGTTTAAATATGGAGGCCAGCCCACTTATAAAGTGCCTCATCATACAACTGACATTTTTTTTGCCAAAAAAAATAAATTAAAATTCTATCAATATTTTTATTTGAATTCCCTCAAAAAACCATCAACCTAGTTTTAAATTAATGAATACTGTTTCGGAACCTCTGTTGGGTACTTTTTTTTCATAATTTCATTATCCGACATCTTTCGCATTGCATCGTAATGGTTTTTACGCCAGATGGATATATAATCTACAGATTGTTTTTTCCACCAATAAGAATGTCCCGTTTAATGCCAACTGTCTCTATAATCGGTTACTTTGCAGTGAACACCGGCGCTCAGTTCGCATTTTAAATTTTTACAGAATACTTACATTTACACATGCTTCATTCGAATCCGGATTGATAAATTTGATAAAATCTACCATTTTGGAGTTATCGACAGTGAAAGTTCAGTTTCATTCGTGTCGTTGGCGGTAGCCATTACTGGCGTTGTTTGCATACATTCGCTGCAGAATAGCTATCAGTGTAGGTATCATTGCGCAAACTGAGTGTATCTACGTAAATAGTTCTTGTGTGCTTAGCTTTCCGCAGCGAATAAATGCAAAGAACAATGAGGTATTATGTACATTATTTACATTATTCGGACTATTGTCCCCATCTTTGTCGCCATATTTATTACAACGTTTCGGCCGGTGGTTGGAATGTCGAACTGGGGTAGACTGTTCTAGTTCCAGTTATCAGTTATCTCCTGTTAAATTCCCTTTCCACTGCCTTAACCGGCTATTGAACTCAAACTGTTTGGGTCCTGTTACTGGATCTAACCATTGTGCCATGTGTCCTTGAAGACATCTGTGTATGAATTTCTGGGTATTATAAACCTAATGTCTTCAGCAACCATTTTTACTAGTGCTCATATTGCAATTTTTTGCTGTTATCATTTCATGTTTTTACCAGAGCTCATATTGCAACTTTTGTTGTTATTATCGCTTTTCTCTGGCACTCCTTATTACTAGTTACCATATTGTATTCATTTCTATGCTTGATTGGTACGTCGAACTAGAACAGTCTACCCCAGTGAGCGAAATAAAGGGTTTTCGACATTCCAACCATTTGAAGAAGGCCGGAGCGTACAACGACCGAAACGTTGTAATAAATATGGCGACAAAGATGAGGACAATAGTCCGAATACTGTAAATGATGTTAAAAAATTCTCCTAATAAAAAACAGATGTCCATATATGGAAGATTTAACTAGTATAGGTTAGTTGAAGAATAAAAAAAAATAAGCAAATTTTAATGACTTATGATTTATACTTAAAAAAAAGGACGAATAATATACTGAAACATTATATGTTACACGAGAGAGACGAAAATTACTGTCATGTTATAAAGCTAATTTTGAAATGAATATAATTTCGGAGTCTAAACTAAGAGTACGTGCGTTTCAAGGTTATAGATTCAAATAGGGACGGTTAATTATATAACCCCTGTTCCTTAATGAAATTTAACGACTTATTTACATTTTGCGTTTAAGTTGGAATGGCTCCTAAAAATAAAAAAAAATAAAAAAAGCAAAACAACTCCCCCCCAAAAAAAACCCCGAAAAAACAAATAAGAGAGTAAACTAAACAAACGTGCAGGCAGTTTATTTTATTTTTTAACACTGGGAGAGCAAAAATTTAAGATTGCACACACACATACATATATACATATATATATATATATATATATATATATATATATTTATGAATAAAATGACAATAGGAAAACTGGTAATAGCTGACTTTATCAAAGCAAAATACGATTTGCTTTGATAAAGTCCACATTGGACGAAACGCGTCAGCAATTACTAGTTTTCCTATTGTCATTTTTATTCATAAGTATTGTCTTCTCTACTGGTTAAATCGGAGAAATTTTCATATATATATATATATATATGTTTGAACAAGACTATTTCAACATGGTCTTGTATTTAGCAAGCTAGTGTAGAATTATCTATTGTGATACTGTTCTATTGCTACCATTGTAACAATTACTAACAGTTACTTGCTGTGTAAGTTTTATTCTCATTCGGTGCCGTTTGTTTGTTGTTGTTGTTTAGCGGCATATCAACTTCTTATGGGTCATTTAATGCTGAAATTAATTTTCTTGTGAGCATTAGTAATTTCATTTACAAAAATGTATTGTTGGTACTATTTTATTTTCAAAGATTTTCTGCTGGTAATATTTTTAAATATGAAAATCCATTGCTGGTATTTTTATATATGAAAATGTATTTTTATACTTTCATAGTGATTTGACCCCAATTTTGGGGTTTACTATTTGCTCATAGTTGGGACCCTAAAAGCTGCTACCACCTTGGATCAGAGTGGAGCTGGGAACAACAGCAATAAAGAGGTGGTTCCATGCTCCTCAAGACCTCCCTATCAGAGGCCTTGCTGCTGGATGTAGTTTATCGTCATACCCAGGATGTACTGGGTGCCGTACACTTGAGGCTTTGTGACAGACTATGTTCAATTTAGTAAATGACTAGAAAGTTCTAAAAATAATCAATCTGTCTCATGAGTATCAAATATTTGAAGCCATCTTCATTATGTAACCTAGGAATTTTTCTTCCTCATGTTAAGTATAAGTGTGATTTTTTGTTTCTATTTTCTCTAAAATTTCATTTTTGTTCACATGTTCAGTCCATGGTATTCTCAGCTTCCTTTGGTAGAACCACATTTCTGTTGCTTCTTCTCCATCTGTGAAGAAACTATCTACCATTCACTGCCATTTATTAAGACTGATATTTTATAACAGTTCAGTAATTTTTTCCTTTGTTTCTAATAGAATTTTTCTATTTTTTAATACTTTGCTTAGCTTTTGGAAAGCCTCCTGAAATATCACAATATGCCTTCAAGTTTCTGAGTTGCACTTTCCATTCCTTGTTAAAACACTTTCCAGTTCTAAAAATAAATTTTAATAAATAAAGTTTTACATAACCATCAACATCACTAATTTAAAAGCAAACGATATTTTAAAAGGATTCACTAAAAATAAATCATACATTTATTTAAGTCATAAAACGCTGAGAAACCTTGCTGGTAGTTAATATAATCAGATTTAGAAAGAGAAAATAGATTATTCTTACCAGTTGAACATCAAAATAAGGGTCCTTTTTAAAAGTTTTGGAATCAGAAATATTTTCCAGAGCCTGACAGTCCGATCTTGCACCATCGATATTTCTATTTCTTCCGAATTGCAATTGAAATCACGTTTGTTTACTTCGGCTATTTTATTTAAAACAATTTCTGCTTCCTTTCGCTTTTTTATAGTTAGCAGCCAACGTGGCGACTCTGGTAACACCCTAAAACGAATAAGAAAATTAAATTTTAGAGCGTTTCAACAATCAATTTCAAAATTCCGAAAGAGTGAGATAAACAGGCAAATTAGTCTTTCTCGAGTTACGGAAATTATGTAATACATAGGTTATAGTCAAGTCAGTTCAATGAGACCCTTGTGACCGTTCCACCCCACAAATACTTGAAAAACAGTTGAAACAGAGAAGAATAATAACATTGCCGAATATAGAACTGCTGTAGATTTGGTAAGGTTTATTTTTACTTCGTCCTTCAAGAAAGCCACTAGAGACATGTAATGTAAATATATAATAACGACAATGAGATAAACAGCAATAATGAAAAAAAAAAGGTAAGCACTGACAATAGTGAAGGTTTTTTTTTTCGTGAAGAAGGAGAGAAAACTATTGACATCATCATGAAGAAATGCTGCAAAGGGAATATAAAAAAAAACCCTAAAAATAAAAAAAATAAATAAGTAAAAAGGAAACTATCATGATATCTATCATCCGATGAAGAGAGAAGGTATAAAACCTGACAGTCAGAAGCCTGCCTACGCTATCTGGCATTACTGGAACTATTCTAAAAATACCAGAGACTAGAGTGGAAGGATTGAATAGGTATGGAAGAATTAAAATTATAAAAATCATAGTATCAGATATCAATGAAAATTTCCGTTATAATAACGAGACATTTTTCATTGATGGCTACGAATAAAAACCAATTGTCAACCAATTAATTAAAATATCAAAGCAGACATTAAAACAAGCCGATTTTTCAGAAACAATAACCAGACAATATAGTGAACGCGCTGTTTCAAACCTTACCAAAGGTATAGAAATCCAGTTGGTATTGAAGGCAGAGACACCAGTAGAATTACTAGTTTCCAGTTTCGTATATAATAGGCCAATAAGTTTAGGATAAAAAGTCCGACGGTGAAATATATTTGAATAGCGATTGAGGCTTGAGTTCTGTTTTTCATTGATGAAATTTCAGCTCCTGTTAAATAGAAAATGATATTAAATGCAGTAAAATACAAACTTCAGATGTACAAACAGTTGTAGAGTAGTTTCACAGTGGAGGCTTGTATTTCACTAAGTCGGTCCTAAAAAGGTTTGACGTACAAAACGTTAGGAACTTGATATAATAGGTAATGACGCAGAGAAATCTAGTGGTGGTCGCTGATAATCTTAGTGTCCAACATCAACTGACTGACCAACTCCCTGAGAGTATTTATTACCCCACTCCCCCACAAGGGCATCATGTGGAACAAGGCCTGTTTAACGTGGGATCTCCGAGCCCGTGGGCTCGGCCAAAAATATGCCCATTGAACCCGTATAAACGGGTTCAGGGTTGGTTTACCTCCCCGAAAGAGAATCCGCCCTTCGGCGTAGCCTCGTTCGGGTTCCTCCCCGCCCGAAGGCAGAGAGTTCAACCGGTCAGCTGGTCGTCCGACTTCAGACTGAACTCAGACCAACTCACTGAGAGTATTTAGTCAGCCCCCCACGAGGGCATCATGTGGCACAAGGCCGGTTTAACGTGGGATCTCCGAGCCAGTGGGCTCGGCCAAAAATATGCCCTTTGAACCCGTATAAACGGGTTCAGGGTCGGTTTACCTCCCCGAAAGAGACTCCGCCCCACGGCGTAGCCTCGTTCGGGTTCCTCCCCGCCCGAAGGCAGAGAGTTCAACCGGTCAGCTGTTCGTCCGACTTCAGACTGAACTCAGACCAACTTCAGTCACCCTCCCACTGGGGTATCATGTGACACAAGGTCGGTTATTTATTGAGCGACTTCACGACTGCTACTACTAGTACTACTACTACTTATTATAGGTAGGAGAGTCTATTAACTATATAATAGGTGTGTTCCAGTATAACACAAATAAAATTATGTAATCTGACGTGGTGTAAGTTTGTCTCGCTATATCAAGTACGACTGAATAGAGAGTTCGCTTCTCACTGGATGCCCAGTACACAGGCCTCATCTAAACTGCGCTTATTAAATCACTATTATTCGACGTGGTGTAATCGTATAGCAAGCTTGTCCCGCTAGATCAATGACGACAGACGATTGAGTTTTAGTCTCTCCGGGTACTACATACATTTAGCCTTGGGCTACATCTAAGCTACCATGGTTAAATAACTATTAACCCTAGAACACTAACCATCAATTAAAGTTACACCATTACTAACCATAGGTATATCATACCCGATTTTGAAATTATAAAAAAAAAATAAATAAAATAAATATAAACCTTTATTTTAAATATTTTACACGCAGGAACTTCAAACTTTGAGTTAACATTAATAGGAACTGAAAAACATATTATTTAGGTAAGAAAATCAGGTACTGAAAATAGTAATTAAAAATAGGAAAATTTGCGCTGGGTACTATATACCCATGGTTAGTGTTCTAGGGTTAAGGACGTCAAATATAGAGTGGCTGTTAACAATTTAATTTTGGAGGCTATTTATTACAGTAGTGATTGGAATGCATAGTGGTTGGAATAGTTGCGTGTTTGTCTCTAACCGCTGACCAGTGTTCGATCTCACGGAAAAAGTCAGGATTTCGAATGTTAATTTTTATTACTGGAAAGCCACCTTAACTTAGAAGTCGATGTAAACAAAATCTTCTTTCAATATCAGATATTCTATCCATGTTCTTTTGACGTAAACGATAGTTACAATGTATAAACATCAATATCCCTATCTTTCCATTTTCATCTTTATTTGCATGTACTTTTGTGTATTTTTAGCTGTAAAACTTCTGTGAATTACACACACACACTATAATATATATATATATATATATATATATATATATATATATATTATAGTTATTTTTAAAAAAATATGATTCCTTCGCTACATAAGAGTTCTTATGCTTCAAAAACGAGAGCCGAAAACCTCAATATAATTATTAAAATTAAAGCGAAAATTTAGGAATAACCAATCTTGAAATTTACGCAACTTTATAAGCATGTTCATTCGCAAAAGTAATTACTATGGAAACGGCTGAGGCGGCCATTTTGGTAAGGAGCCTAAGAGATAATTTTTATTCACATATCAGTCACCTTCGGAAAGTGGTTAAGCCGAGGTAGGGTGGGGTATCCATTTCAAAGTGAATGATGGCATTCGTGTGCGCACATCATTTGGTCAGTCATAGCGAAAGATAGCTTTTGGCACCATAATATGTCGTTAAGTGTCTAGAGAAATATTTATTTATTTATCCTTTTTTTTTCTAAAGGGCTGTTCCGTACTTAAACGCGTCGCACTGAACTACAGTTTGTTTTTTGGCGACTTAATAAAGGGTTTTTCTATCTTATGATTGGGTTAAGCTTTAAACCTTTTATTAGACTATGAAATTTAATTTTTTTATGCTAAATATTTAATGCGAAAATTTGTTGATGTCGGCAGAAAACCGTTAACTCATGTCTATGGTTTAATAAATTTTCATTATTTAGAAACTTAATAATGTGTACTTTTTGATGTAGGCATAAAGTGCATGGGTCATCCCAGGTTTTACAAGTTCTTGTTCTATTTATTATTTTCTATTTTACTTTTGGTGTTTTATTCATTTCTTTTAAATGCCAAAATATTTGGATAGTGTCTGATTTTTATTTCTAATATTATTGAAGAAGCTTTTGTGTTGTCTCCATCTAATTTATAAAACAGAAGTAAAAATATTATTAGGTTTTGAATTTTTTTTTCAAATTAAGAACGGTCAGATATATTCTCAAAGCTAATATTGAAAGTTAAAGTAAACTAGTAAGATGTGGAATTCTTCGATCTAAAGAATGTCACATTTATTAAAAGGGAAAATAACTTATTTAGATGGAAAAGACATGAGAGTACCGCTATTAAGTCTTGTCAAAATAGAAAACCTACACTGCAAGTTTTTAAAAATCTTTTTTTGTAAATAAAATAATACAAGCCAACATACGCGACAATAACATTTTTAAATAATAAAAAGAAAACGGTTAAATCATAACTTTTTACTATTTAAAATAAATAAATAATATATCAAATTAAAATAAAATAATAAATAATACTTACATTAATAAAAAGTAAATAAATATACGTGTATAAACAAATAAGACTTCAACAACAATATTTACTCAATTTCGTTTATTGTGAAATTAATTACATCACTTAGCATCAGCCATAGTATACATTGACTTTCACAGCCTTAAGAAATTTGAGTCTTCTAAAATTTAA